CTAACATGTCGACATGTGCTAGCGTTTATAAACCTCCCACTAGCGGGCACACAATTATCACGACCATATTGGAGACAAAACCAAGCAAACTTTACAAACAAAACCGAAATTCACAATCGTTCTCACTTTCAAAAATAAACCGAAGAATCTCAAGTGGGCATGCTCAATTCTAGAAAAGAAGGAAAATAATAAAAGTTCAAATTCCCTTTTTAATCATGCTCAAATGCAAATAAATCCATCTAAACCTCGCCACCATCTCAGAAAATAATTAAAATATGCTTCAAAAATTTACGGGCTTTACCATAATTTACTTACCTTAGTCACGCAGGACAGAAGGCCTAATCCAAGTGCTAAGACCACAGGGCAATCAAGGACCTATTCACAATATTCTCGAGTTAATATCTATAAGGAAATTTTATTCCTTTATTTATTTTCATTTTTGCTTTTCTATGTGAAAATCAAGCATTAACCGGGATTGGGTATTTATCTATATATCTACAATTATATAATTACCCATATACCATTTTTCTCAAATCTATGGACAAGCATTTGGGAGAACCGGCCTTGACAAAAATGGCCAATCCACGGAATTCTCCCCTTTTCTCTCGGACACACACACAACAGCCATATTAAGGATTTTCTACTTAAATCATCAACCAATCCATTTTCAAATTCCCTAAAACTCATCCCTATTTCAACAGAATTTTCGGACAACTCAAGCCCATTTCACACAACCACTTAAACTCACAAATCAGCACTTAATCCACCAATTTTCAGGAGATTAAAGAAGCCACTTACCAAAAATGCTCAACAAGCAAAGCTGGAGCTGGCGGTAAAGGGAAGAGCCGGCGGGAAAATTGGAGGACTTCAACAGGGCCACTAGCAATTTAAGGAACAACAAGATTAGAGTGACCCAACATAAATCAAGGCTAAAAAGAGGAGTTTCTGGACTGATTTTTACCAGGAAAACCGAACTCACACCCAGCTGTGGCCGGCGGCAGGGAAGGAAGAAAGCAGCAAATCCGGCGGCTTTTCTGCAAAAGAAAGAGGTTCTAAGTCCTAGACTCGTTCTTGGGCAAGAGGAGAACAAAAACCATCAAGTTCTCTTACCAATTTTGCAGGTGGGGACGCTGGAAAACGGCTGGGTTCACTTCGGCTGCAGCAGGGAGAAAAACAGAGCAAACGCGAAATGGCTGGAAAGAAAGAAAGAAAGAAGAAAAAGAAAAAGGAAATGAGTCAGCCGGCCTTATCCAATAAGAGTTTTAACCCCCTTGAAGTTTGAAAAATTGACAGTTAGGTCCATTAATAATGTTTTCTCACTATTAAGTCCCTAACTCAACTTATATGCTCTAGGAAATTTTGGGGTATTACATAGCAACTGATGGTCCCTTGGTGGTCGCCCGTGCATGGTGGTGCGATGCCTGGTGGCCAACAACAACCAGGACCACCCTTTGACGGTGTGGGTATGGCAAGAAGGGCCAACGTTTGTCAGAAGTGTCACACCTTGTCGTATTGGAGGCCATGGATGCAGCTAGCATCCCCTTCCATGGAGACAACTCCACCTTTCTCTATACATATTCATCGCTATGGTCGAGTCTGGTTTAACAAGATTTACCCCTTCGTGGCTTGGCGGATTAGTGGAAGTGCTTTTCTGATTCCACATGATTTACTCTCCAACCTGGGCAAAGCTAGCCACTGTTGTCCCTATGGCTATGGGGAAGATATGCATGGTTGACCCCAAAATACGTACATAACATGGTCGAAAGTCATGCACATTGTCACTTTTCTACACAGAGGGACAAAATTACCAATTGTCCGTAATCTTGACTTATAACACATATTTTCTATGTCTTATGTGTCAACAAGTATCATCGACCAATGAAGTTTGGCTTAGGATAACGATATCGCAATACACACCCATATCACTTGTTCCTAATTTTGGTGCAATGCCAACCATGTACAACAGCAATATATTGACACTCGCCATGGCCAACAAGCAAATGGGAGCAGCGAACATTCATCCACATAGCCCCCTTTAATACACAAGGGCATTCCCTTCTTTGCTACATATATTTGTTAGTTTATTATGCTTAAATACTTGAACATATATTCACATGTGCTTCACTGTTGCTGCAGATAAACACAAGACCATGAATCCAAGCTCATGGGAACTACTCGGGATAAACTATGGGAGTAGTGGCTTGGCAGGAATGGATGGATGAACGTTGCTTGTCTGACGAAGCAAGGCATTTGCGCCAGCTTTGCTAGTGATGCTGCCTGAATTTGCTAGAAAAGGGCTAGGTGGCGAAGACATGGAAATGAAGTTGATTCTCGGAACAGTATGGTTTGATGCTAACTGAAGGTTGAAAATTCTGCTAAAAATTAACCAGAGATGCTGCCTTGGTCACCATCAGCAACTTGCAGCCATATTTAATGCAAGGGTGGCTGCATAAGTTCCATGGCCTTGGAAACTGCTATAAAAGATTACTATTTGCTTGCAAAATCTTCCAAAATCTTGTGTAGAGCTTGGGGAACTTACCAAATCCTATGCAGATGTTGTTTTTGTTGGCTGCACTCAAGCACCTCCCTAAAGATGAGATTTTGTATAGCTGGAGGCATTGTTAGAAATATACAGTTTCCAATTCTTTGCCAGAACCAACAAAGCTTCACTGGAACCGTTGGGCAATTCATGATGCCACTGTCAGAAGAGCTGCCAACAGTGCCTAGAGCCACCGAAAATTCGACAGTTCACCCAAACCTATCTTGACACCTTTAAGCCATTAACCAGAAATTACAACAATACCACTGCATATATATATAAATTATTTGCCCTTCATTTTTCAGAACATATAGAAACATGAGCACATAAATAGATTTACACACTTAACTTTAGCCCTTCTTCCTCACTCACCAAAACTCCCAGTTTTCCTTTAAAATTATTATGTCTTCAACCTACTGCCCTGCACGCTATAACCATTCGCAAATCACCATTTTCTCGGATTTCCTATGTCTCCAACTTTGTAGAACATTTTTCAACACTACAGAATATCACCCAGCATCGCAGAACATTCCCAAGTTTGTAGGATGTTACGGCTAGGAAACAACATGCTGCAATTTTAGCTTCCGGGTAGTTCTTCTTGAGCATCAGACAATCAAGGTTGCAAGGTTAGCATAAAAAACGAGATCAAGTGCTCCATTTGTAAACTCTTAAGCGGTCATCCTTCCTTTTCCCATCACCACTCTCAAGTTTATCCTTTTGTCTTCAGAAGAGTTTCAAGAGTGGAGTTGTTGCACTTTTTGTTTTCAATATGAGAATTATTCATTATAGAGTAAAGATATACACTAGAGATGAAAGATGTCACATTTATTGTCATTATTATCATGTTACAATGATTTATGTATGAATGTGATCCTCAAGTTGTAATCTTTGAATCACATGTATTTTCCATCTTCGCTGCCCCTCCATAATAACATACAACTTCCACCCATCATGTTTTTGATAGTTGTGTAATGATCTTGCATCCTTGGAATCTCGCCATTGCTGCCCAACTCCACTGGCTTGGCTGGAAGATTTATCTTTTCAAAAGCTTTGCTGGAGAGTTCACTACAAGACATCATTGCCTAACAGAGTGAGATGGCCTGTAGCATGTAGCCTTCCGCATGTGAGACGGGTGCTACCGAAAGAACCCCCCATTTTCTCGGGTGTCATCCTAGTCAGTTTCCACATCATCACCATTGTTGACTCATCCACCTACATCACCAACACCCCTGAACAACCTTTAAGTAGCAAAGGTCAAAATTAAGACAAGAAGCAACATGCAATAGAGTAGCAAAAATAGAAGAGACGAAGACATAGAAGTACGTCATGTTGAGTCTTCTTAGCAGGTAATTCTGAAAGACTTTTAATTCACGTTATTGATGCCCTTAAAAAAAAAAGGGGCAATCTTGACTTCAAGTACCTAAGAATTACTATTTGAGTTAGAAATAGAGAAATCTTTTAGAAGATAAAATTTGCCATTCTTAACGTCAGTTACCTAACAATTACTGTTTGAATGAGAAATAGGGAAATCTTTTAGGAAGATCCTTTGAATTCTCTTGGTTAAAATTATTTCAAGGCTTTCTCTCAATTAGCTTAGACTACTTGTTCCAAGTTACAACATGTTACATCTTTTGGTGCTAACTTTGTTGCCCCTTTGCTCTTAAATTCATATGTCTAAATAGTCTATCATAATCATAAGTGGTGCTTTCATCTTTGTAAGGGAACTATAAGACATTAATTTAGGGCTTGCTAGACTAATTAAGAAAGTTAATATGAATTGATCTACACTCTCAACTAGGGGTAGAGGGCATGCTTGTTTTGGATGTAATCCTGACTCACTTTTTACCTTATCGACCAATGTAAGGTCCTAGGCAAGGTAATGAAATAGTATTTCATCACTAATTAATCATCTTTCGTTGTGGTGTGTATGGATGGATTATCTTTGAGATGAAATTCGATTCATAAATTGATTTAGAATGTCACTTGAGTATATATAAAGAAAAGAAAAACAGTTGCATATGAAGGCATGTTTTCCTTTTAGGAAAAGGAAAATTAGAACGTCTTGATATTTTTTAATGTCAAGACATCCAATAATAATTTCATCATCCAATAATAATTTCATAATGAATTTGATAAAATTATAGTTCATACTATACCTTACATATTTAATGATTGTAATATGATAAACTCACACTATACTATACATATTTAATAATTGTAAATAAATGTCTTCACATTTCTAACGCCAAAACATTTTGATTTTTCCTTTGCTGTTTCCTTTTTGCATGATAAGAAATATTGACATATTGATTTTGTTTGGTTTAGGCATGTTTTCCCTTCTAGAGAGGTAGCAATTTTGATTCTGTTGGGTTTAATATTAAAAAATCTACTTCATCTGTTTCAAACTAATTATTTTTTTATTTTAAATTGTTTGAAATTAATTGTCTGAAATTAATTGTCATTTTTTCATATTTTTAGGTAGACAAATATTTTTTCTTAGTTTAATCCTCTAATTATCTATTTATTTTAATTAATTATTCTATCATAAAAAATATCTATTTATTTTTAAGACACTAACTGAACAAGCCCATCTTTTGACTGAAAAGCCAGTAATTCGATCATGCGAGTTGACCAAATTGTTGGTCCGAATATGTTCTATACGAAATAAAATTTTGAAAAGAATTTCATCATGACCGAAATAAAACTTATTTTAGTTAGTATTACTAATAGAAAATGTGGTTGAGAAATCATTAAAGAATTCTTAAATTTGATCAAATTATTTGATCGAAATATTTAAATATTATTTAATTAACTATTTCGGTCAAAGAAACTAACCAAACTAATCATGAATTACAATTTTTGTTTTCTTTGTTTCATTGCAAATATATGACTAAATTAATCAAGAACGGTATTTTTGGTAATGTCAACTCAATGTTTTTGGTTAGTCATTGTGATCGAAATAAGATGCATCGTAAGTTCCACATAGCAATATTTCAGTCAAAATGACTAATCAAAATGATACGAGATGGATATTTTTGAAATTTTGTTGTATATATTTTCAGTTAAAAAATATGATTGAAATATGATGAGTTTAATTTTTATATGCATTTATCTACCCTTTTTGATAATTTCCACCTACAAATAATGAATTGAATATAAACAAAGGTGAAGCTAAGTTACAAAAGACCCATAAAATTAAATTCTAGGCTCAAAAGTGGGTAGATAAATGCATATAAAAATTAAACTCATCAAATACCCCCAAACTTAAATTCTTGCTTGTCCTCAAGCAAAAGAAAGCTAAAAAAAAACCAGAGCTCACATACATTCTTCCCCACATAGATAACACAAGAAGCATCAACATTCAACTTGATTTTTAGTTCAAATTCCAGTAATACCAAGCAAGGGAGTCAATGACTATCACTTTCATACTTATGCTTATCTTTAAATAACCCCATGCAAACTTGCAATAAGCACCACTGAAACATGTAACAATATACCATGTAATTACCCTTTTTTTTTTCTTTTCTTTTTCTCTTTTCTCCTTTTTTTATAGCCATACATCACAATCTTCCTTGAGCTGTCACTTATCTTTTGACGCGAATACTAACATTTGTGATGAAAGCACCCGGTTACTCAATAAGTCACAAATTCAAAGTGCTTTACATACTCATATTTCAAGTTACTGTTTGACGTGAAAGCTGATATGGGTCGCATACCTAACCCCCAGTTACTAAGCACTTAGAAACATTGGAGTAGAAATTATCAAACTTTTTTGTGTGCTGGCTTATCTTTTTTTTTTTTTCTTTTCTTTTCTTTTCTTGTCAAGTTTCCTTAGGCTTTCTAAGTTACCCATGTAACGAGCTTTTTGCCAATGACTCCCAAACCAATTGGCTTTAGGGCACTAGGTGAAGAAACACCCCTAAGAGCATACTTACTCAAGTAACAAAGGCCACGAAACATTTGACTTTTTTTTTTTTTCAAAGCAGTTTCCAGGGATAATTAGACAGGATAGTCATCACAAAAACAATGAAACCTACTCACAAGATGCATATAATTTCCAACCAAAACAATTATAAAGTCAAAGCCCTCAACTCCTCTCATCAAGGTATTACTAAATTTTGACCTAATCATCAAAGAAAAACAATATCCCTCACTTGTAGCATCTATGCAACAAAAATATGTATAGGCTCATCTGACTATATTCATACCATGCTGGAAAATTAAACTCGCACACATGCATCCAATATTCTATCACTTCAAACCACAACAAAAGCAAGAACACAAAAAATATCCTCCCCCAAACTTAAAATTAACATTGTCCTCAATGTAAAACAAATAAATAAGAGAAGAAAGACAATACTCCCCTATCTTGCTCTTCCTGTTGTAGACATGCAGTGTGTTCCTCTAGAGCCAAAAGTTCTTGTTATAGTTGCCTAAACTGCTGCAAAAAGGGTAATAAAAAACTGACCCAGCCAAAATTAGAAAAATGAAAATGAATAAAAGAATTGAATAAAAAGAAAATGTCAAAGAAAAAACTTAAAAAAAAAATGAATAAAAGAATTAAATAACTCAATGCAAAACAGAAAAATGTCAAATAACAATTTTTTTTTTTGATGGGTTGCCTCCCATTAAGCGCTTCTTTACAATCATTAGCTTGACTATCACTACAAAATGATCAAGGGTCTTTCAATAAAATGGTGGAATTAAATGCTGGAAAATTACCACCTTCAACATAAATTTTCAACCTTTGGCCATTTACCTTAAACATTCCCTTAGTATTATGTGAAATTTCAACAACTCTATAAGGGAAAACCTTAGTCACCACAAAAGGACCACTCCATCGGGATTTCAACTTACCTGGAAAGAGTCGCAATCGAGAATTGAAAAGAAGAACCTTGTCACCCACATGAAACTCTTTCTTGTGCACATGTAGATCATGCCATGCCTTGGTTCGTTCCTTGTAGATCTTGGCATTTTCATAGGCAGCAAGTCGTAATTCTTCCAATTCATTCAACTGCAATTTTCTATGTTCACCTGCATCTTTCAAATCAAAATTCAAGTATTTAATAGCCCAATATGCCTTATGCTTAAGTTCCACAGGAAGATGACAAGCCTTACCAAAAACTAACCTATAAGGAGACATACCTATCGGAGTTTTGTAAGCTGTCCTATAAGCCCAAAGTGCATCATCTAATTTGAGTGACCAATCTTTCCTAGACAAATTAACTGTTTTTTCCAAAATTCTTTTCAATTCTCTGTTAGAAACCTCAACTTGTCCACTTGTTTGAGGGTGATATGGAGTAGCAATTTTATGGATAACACCATATTTAGCCAATAAATTTTCAAATTGCCTATTACAGAAGTGTTTACCTCCATCACTAATAACAGCCCTAGGTGTGCCAAATCTAGTGAAAATATTACTCTTCAAAAATTTAACCACCACCCTAGCATCATTAGTAGGACATGCAATAGCCTCTACCCATTTACTCACATAATCTACCGCAACAAGAATATATGCTTTGCCAAAAGATGAAGGAAAAGGACCCATGAAATCTATTCCCCAAACATCAAATATGTCACACACCAAAATATTAGTCAAAGGCATTTCATGTCTCCTAGAAATATTACCAGTTCTTTGGCATTGGTTACATGCACTCACATAAGCATAAGCATCTTTAAATAAAGAAGGCCAATAAAATCCACATTGCAAAACCTTAGATGTTGTTTTGGAGGTACCCAAATGACCACCAGCTTCTTTGTCATGACAAAAACTCAAAATTGCATCTACCTCTTCTTGTGGTACACATTTTCGAATCATTCCATCACCACATATCTTGTAAAGAAATGGTTCCTCCCACAAATAATGTTTAATATCAGAAAAGAACTTCTTTTTCTGTTGAAAAGATAAGT